ATAAATTAAATCAAAGATACTGTCTGATTTGAGTGCGTATAAAATTCAAAGATTTTTATTAGCTCTGGCTTGGTTGAGAGTAATTCTAAGCTGCTGAGAATGTCAGTGTAAAGGCAGGAATGGACACGGTGCAGGTTTTCTGATCCAGCAGACCGGGTGAAGGAGGAGTCAGAGTCCTCAGTAGCTTTTTGCAGGCTTTTATTGGGATTTGCCCGGTACACAGCAGGCAGGGATGCTGGGGGGGCAGGAGGATGGCAGGCCTCCCAGCCCCCAGCAAGTCTTCACTCTATCTGGGCTCTTCGGCCTTCTCTCTGCTTCTCTCTGCTCTTCTCATGGCTCTGCTTTTCTCTTGGCTTCTGCTGGCATCCCCATGATGCCACCCTTAAAAGCCCAGTCTCAGCCCAGGTGAATCCCATCTACCTATGCCCACACCCTACTCCAGGTGCCCACCATCAGGCATGCATTCAGGACCACAAGGATCCATCATATCCTGATGGCTGGAGGGCAGAAAAGCCTGATATTTTTCCTTACCCTACAGTCAGAAAATCAGGAGTTAGGTAGTTGAAGAGCTCATCTAATCAGGGTTCATGGCCACATTGGCTTGGCCTGCCCGTATTTTTTTTAATTATTTATTTTTTTGTGGGACCCTCGCCAGCGGCCGGGGAATGAACTGGCGCTGCAGGGGCTGCGGGCAGCCTCACAGCCCAGCGCTCAACCTCTGGGCCACCAGGGGAGGCCCTGCCCATTTTATTGACAACTTTTTGTAAAATGAATATACCTGCAATGTAACCATGTGTAAGGTCAGGACTGGATACAGTGCAGGTTTTCTGATCCCATGCAGACTGGGTAAAGGAGGAGTCAGAGTCCTCAGTAGTTTTGCAGGTCTTTTATTGGGGTTCACCAGGCATATGGCAGGCAGGGGTGCTGGCAGGGGTGCTGGCAGGCCTCCCAGCCCCCAGCAAGTCTTCACTCTATCTGGACTCTCTGGTGTTCGTTCTGCTGCTTCTCGGCTTTGGCTTCGGCTTCTGCTGCTGCTGCTTCTGCTGCTGGCGTCCCCCCGTGACGCCGCCCTTAAAAGCACAGTCTCAGCTCAGCTGAATCCCATCTACCTATGCCCACACCCTATTCCAGGTGCCCGCCATCAGGCATGCATTCAGGACAAGGATCCATCATCTATCCTGATGGCGGAAGGGCAGAAAAGCCTTACATTTTCTTTACCCTACAGTCCACCCCCTCAGGGTTTTCTGCCATACAGTCTATACATATATATACAATTTTCTAAGCAAACAAACAATACAGCCATGGCCCACAAAAGCAAATACATCAAATATAACAAAATACAACAGAACACAAATAAGTCCAGGCAGGGCACCAACCTAGTGCAAAAGACAATTATTGGTACCAGCAGATAAGCCACCAAATCTGCTGCCGAAGGCACTGCTCATACGAGGGAGGGAATCACTCACGGCATCTACTATATCACACCAGGAGCCGTCAGGCTTCCTGGCCTTCTCTGGCTGTAGTCTCGGCTACAAGGCACACACAGCATCCACCCCCAGGATGCACTAGCTCTGGGATTGGCAATTTTATTCTGTTGGGGGTAATTGCCAACCCTCAGGGTTTCTGTCTGCAGTCGCTCAACACTCGGCCTTCATGGCCACCCATGCGACTCGCAGACCCCTGCACTCAGGCCAACCCACTGCACAAGCACATGGGTCGGGATCCAAACTCTGCATTCGGCTTGGGCTCCACCCCAAGCCACGTTCACCACCCGTCCCCCAAGGACAGGTTCCTCAGCTCCTCACCCTCACTCAAGAATGAGCAGGGCATCACCCACAGGTGATTTTACGAGACTCACAGGTCTTCAGCATACCCAGGCTGCTTAACAGCCACTTAGGGCTTCTCAACTTAGCATCAGTACCAGCTTTTGCCTACTTAGTTGGCTTTTCTCCTCCGCCTGGCTGCTGGGCATGCACAGGCTGCTTTTGGCCATCTAGGCCCACTGGCCACCCCCAGATTCCCATCTCTTGGGGTTTACAAACAAAACTGTTCCACCCCCAGGGTCCCAAAACATATCAACCTGCAAGGTCCTCCGCCTTCTGGCGGGAATGTCATTCCATCAGTCCATCAGTTCAAGTCCATTGGCCTCTCCCTGCGTCAGCAATGGCCTGCTGCCTCAGGGGTCATTGGCTGGTCCTTTCCGGTGTCGTTGGCTGGTCCTCTTGGGCGTCTCCTTCATGCCAGGTCCCGTCCTGCAGCTCCCGGACCGTATCCATCTTCTGTGCCGCCCTGGCGCCTCCAGCGTCGTCACAGGCAAACACTTACTCCTTAGTCCCTTCCAGGTCTTCGGAGGGCTCCAATACCCGTCTGCATGGATCTTGCCGACTTACGCCAATTGTAAGGGACAGGACTGACCACAGTGCGGGTTTTCTGATCCCATGCAGACTGGGTAAAGGAGGAGTCAGAGTCCTCAGTAGTTTTGCAGGTCTTTTATTGGGGTTCACCAGGCATATGGCAGGCAGGGGTGCTGGCTGGGGGGCTGGGAGGCTGGCAGGCCTCCCAGCCCCCAGCAAGTCTTCACTCTATCTGGACTCTCTGGCGTTCGTTCTGCTGCTTCTCGGCTTCTGCTTCAGCTGCTGCTGCTGCTTCTGCTGCTGGCGTCCCCCCGTGACGCCGCCCTTAAAAGCACAGTCTCAGCTCAGCTGAATCCCATCTACCTATGCCCACACCCTATTCCAGGTGCCCGCCATCAGGCATGCATTCAGGACAAGGATCCATCATCTATCCTGATGGCGGAAGGGCAGAAAAGCCTGACATTTTCTTTACCCTACACCATGCTAGATGCTGTAGGCAGCAAGCTACACATTTTGCTGACTTTCAAATGTTGGGACCTAAGACAGACATGGGTTAACCAAGAACATGAGTAAATTTCACTGTTGTTTTGCTTTTTTGGGGAAAGTAATACTATGTCTTGATTATAAGTTAGGCATTTTTACTCATTGAAGAAATGAAAATGGGAAAAGTGATGTTGCCCACTGACAATAGAAATGCTGCTCATGAAATTAGTTTTCCAGTTTGTATAGTGAGCTTGACTTTAGTTATCCAGACTGTTTTCCTAATGTTCCCATGTTATAAAGCTATCTGTTGTTTGGAAGAACACTGAATAAATAAGGAAAGGGTAGGATTAGAACTGCAAGCAAAGTGGGTTCTTCTCTCTGAGAAGTAAATGCAACCTAATTAGCCCTAACTAGCTGAGCTAACCAATCACAAAAGTCTAAATGGAGCTCAAAGTTTTGTATGCAAGAATCATCTTGGGAACTTGTTTAGAGCTATTATGAGCATCATCCTCAGAGATTTTTTAATTCAGTGATCTACGGTTGGGCCCAAGATTGTATAATTTTAATAAGTAATTTTGGTGATTCGTCCTCAGATGGTTCCTGGTCCAAATTTTGATAAGGGATGGTAAATGAAGTCTGAGTCATTTGAATTCACTGGAGACTAGTAAGGATGTACTGAGGAAATCAACTTTGCCTTCATCCTAAGGGAAGAGAAATAATAAGGGGCAGGGAAAATGGGGGTGTGGGGCTAGGAGCAAATGAAATTGACTAGAAAGCTGTAGTATGGACTGTTTTAGTCATACATCCTGGGAAATGTATGAAAACATTCTCTCACCATTAGGAAGCAACTGCTCATCATCCACTTAGAATAATGGACCTCGTGGAATTTGGAGTGTAAAGGAACCAGAGGCATAAACTTTGCTACTAGCCCATCTCGGATTGATTCTTGGTTCTGCCAGTTAGTAGTTATGACTTTGAGAAAGTTAATTAATCTTGAAGTGTGCCTCTGTTCCTTCATCTATAACTTGGTAATAATGAGAGTACTTACCCTGTATAAAGCTGTTGTGAGGATGACATTATTGAGTGGAAGCAAAAGTGCTCAGAACCATGGTGACCCTTAGTAAGTACTAGGCAAAGGCTGGATATTACTTACTCTTCTTTTAACTCAGTGCTAAGAAAGAAAGGGAATGCAGGTGAAACTGGAAAATGAATCAATGGAATGAGGTCACAAAGAATAGAGGGAAAAAAATATCAGGTTTGTGAACCCTTACTAGGCCATTTTGTGATGAGACTTCAGTTATTTAAGATGGGATATCTCTATCTTGTAAACTTGTCTTGATATGGCATTTTTTAGTATTTTTTATTTTGCTTTGCTTCTTAGAAAGGTTCTAGATGAAAAATTCCATTGTTAATATGAAGGACTAAATGCTTTAGAGTTCTGGATCTTGGACTTGTGGGGTCTCTAAAGCAACATTTCTCTAGATGTACATAAGTATATTTGTGGATACCAGGGAAAATTTTTTCCAATTTCTTTGAGTGTACTAAGACACCAAAAATGTTAATAATGAAATACATCATAGCAATGGCTTCTTCCTCATCCTACTTTCTGTAACCCTAGAGGACTGGTTCTCATCCACGGGAGTTGGTCAATGTCTTGAGAGATTTTTGATTGTCACCACTAGTGGTTCTACTGGCATCCAGTGGTAAAAGCCAGGGCTACTGAAAAATACCCTGCAATGTATAGAAATCACAGAAAGAATTATCCAGTCTGAAATGTTAATAGTGTTAAGGTTGAAAAATACTGTACTAGAAGTAGTGTTGGCAGTACCTTTCCTGGAATCTGGAGGCAGATCTGGTGAAGCTGGGCACCTAGTGAAAAGTGGCAGAGCTGGGGACCAGGAAAATCAGCCCTTCTTTCCAGGCTGTTCTTTAATGAGGACATGGACTTCCTGTCAGTGCTATGACAGACACCTGTGGCAACTTATCTTTAGGTACAGAGATACTCCTGTCAACACTTTCTTAGGAGCTTCATGACTTGGTACAAAAGTGCTATCTCGTCATGTTGAGTCTTACAACTTACCCCACTCATTGGTCAAGTATAATGCTCACTTAAAATCTGGATGTTTGATTGAAAAGCAGGCAAATTTAATTTTTTTTTTCTAGGCAAAGACACATTTCTCTCCTTGGGTAATGGAATTCCTATGATAATCAACACCAATTGAGATCCAGGTATGTAGCTTTAGTAAAATGACTGATGACTAAATCACTCATGTGACCTAAGGGACTTGTCTCCCAGGTCCTTGTTCAATTCCCATGAATGAAGAAAATTGGAAAAATTGAATTAGATTATTAATTTAGTTTTTAGGAAGTATCATGTTTGTTAAAAACAGTTTATTTGGGTTGAATGCCATGAAGTCTCTCTCTCTCTCTCTTTATCTCTCTCTCTCTCTCACACACACACACACACACACACACACACACACACTTACTTCTCCCAAGGAGAATCTTCTTTAGACCTTATGGTAGACAGGGATAAGAAATTATGCTTTGAATAAAATATTGGTTCTCTCTGTAGTCTGGGGTCAAGAACACATGTGTCTCAATCATATTCTATAGTGTTTTTGTTTGGCTCCTACTTTTATTTTATTTCTTCATTATTTTGTTTTCTGTTCTGTGCAAACTCTTCCATACCTCTGGAGAAACTATAATTGGAGATGAGCTGTGAAATTTAAAGATATGGGTTCATTAGCCTTCTAGAGTTTCATCCCAGCTCTAGTATGGGAGCCAGCATGAGAGGGCAGGTATGAGAGAGGAAGTTATTTAGAGAATATTACTTTAGATGGACCCCAGAGGAGAAAAAGATTAGGCGAAACAACTGAAAGAGCCAAGTACCTGCTATAGAAAATAAGATATAAAACTTTGGCTTTGCCATTTGGATCTTGGGAATAGTTGGCAATCAAAGTTCAAAGGGTTTTGACAGTTTCTCTCTAATCTTTCTTAGGCCATTACAGAACAAGTAGAGGTCTGGGTGGCATGAGGGTGAATGTTCCATACTCCAGGACAAATGTGGCAGATGCGAATGTCATAAAAGTGTCAGCAATCTTTGCCCTGTGTTTCTTGTGATTTTTCCATGAGGAGAAAAAAAAAAAAGAATTATCTGGATTTTAGTTCCAGTTTTGTCTGTCACTAACTTAAATAAAAAAATTCTACACATGCCAGGAAGGAGGGATGATACTAGATGATATCTATGTTTCCATTCGAGCTAAGTTTCTATAAAACTCAACTCTGTGATGTTTCAAGAACACTAAACTTAGTCCTAAACAACTTTCTATAACAGAAGTTTCTGTGAGAAATAGAGTAAACATATCTGTGACCTATATGCCTGGAACTCTGCATGAGATGTGGAAGTCCTTTCCCTGAGAACTTGTGAGACCCCCAAAATGAGATTTTGAGTCAGGCAGAAAAGCTCTGAAAATCACAGGTCCAGGGAGGAAACAGACAAACATGATGTTTAACTGTAAATGTGACCTGTTGCTTTACTTCCCCTGTCTACATCTAATATCCCTGCCCTGTCTCCTCCCTCTAAACTCCTCCAGTCTCCTGGCTGCTATTTTGAAAACTTCTCAGTCAGAAGTGAAATCTCATGGGAAATAAGAACAGAATGTGCTTAAATAGTTTCAGTGTTGGGTGCTGGAATGTTTGAAAGCAATTTTTATATAAAAGTTAGAAATGATTTTGGGGGGCTTCAGAATACTTTGATAGTAAATTTGTCTTGATAGTGGCAAGAATGAAGGGAAAATGCTGAAAGAAGTAGCCAGATGGTATATCTGGGAACAGAATTTATATCTAAACCTTAACTTCTTAGAAAAAAGCCTCAGTGTATAGTGTGCTGCACAACCTGTGGTCCTAACTTGGAATAGAAAAATAATCAGTCTGTCCCATGACTCTTCCAACTCGAAATCAAGTATAGTAGGTTACTGTGCTAAGCTTCCTATTCTGGTATTCTTAGGCTGATCCACTGTAATGGTCTATGACCTTCATTTTATTCTTGTTTCCTGGAATACATTTATCCTACTTTTGGCAATTGCCCCCCGGTTTTCCTGAGGCAGACTTCTTTATTCCCAACCGTCTGTCCATGTGCTCCATTTCTATGTAGGAGTCACCATCTCCAGCCCCGGAGATACCCAATGGGATAGAGCCTTGGATAATTAAAGAATTATATCACTCTGGTCACAGTGATTGGTTCAGTCATGAGATGACCCACTTGAATTGGTGCTATATACTGAGACAATGGCTAGAGTTTTTTTTTTAATATTTTGTATATTTATTGAGGTATAATTGACATATAACATTATGTTAGCTTCATGTATACAGCATAATGATCCCAGATTGTTTGCACCATGAAATGATCATCAAGTCCAGTTACAATGATTTTTCCTTGTAATAAGAATCACGGCTAGAGCTTTTGAGAAAGGAACATGAACTTAAAACTTGTTTTCCGCAACCAGCTGGTAACCATGAGTAAAGCCAACAGAGAGATGAGTAGAGACAGATAAAGGAAGAAGAAACACCACATTCTGATGCTTTCCGTCACAATATGTCAGGGAGCAAAGATGGCTTTTATGGACATATATTCTGTGCAGTTGCACAGGTCCTGAGCTCAGGAGCCTTGTTTTAATGCTCAGCTTTTTCATCTTGAAAATCTTAATACATTTTGTTTTTGAACTTGTGTTTTGTCAATGAAGTTCAGTGGGACAATGGTGCATGTGTGTGAACAGAGGCTTACATGTAAGGAATGCTTGCCTTTCCTTGCCACCCAACGTGTATACAGAATTGCAATGATATAGAAGCTCAGAATTCCAGTGAACTTCATATCTGTAAAGGTTCAGTGAGACTAAAAGGGAGTACAAGCTAAACCTGTTTATAAGTAAGGAAATAGGGGTGCCCACTGATTCTCCTTTGAATCAGAACTTTCTTTGAAGGCAGAGGGAAGGCAGTGGCACTGAATGGCCAAAGAACCCCGTCAGATCCTTCCCTAATTGTGCATCACCTCCCTGTATTAGGCAACAGTTTTGAGGAACGTGATAGCATTGAGGGGAAGAGAAAGAAAGAACAATTTTTCTTCCCTTTTCCTTTTAGTTTTTCCATACTCATTATATATGGGGGGTGTTGGGAGGATGTGTATGAAGACATGATATAAAGAGCAGAGTTCATTCCTGCAGTGTTTCCACTGGCCTGGTAAGAATGATGTACCCTGTGTGGTGTGGACAGTGAAACACGGGTTGTACAATTTAGGTAATTTTAAATGTGAGTTCAGGGCTCTTATATTTGCATTTAAAACTGGCATTGCATAATGTAGAGAAGAATGGTAAAATGCATGCTAATCATTTTAGCATTTTAATTTTTCTTTACTTAGAATCATTTAAAATAGCAAAATATAAGACCAAAAATCATCCCAAAAAACCCAGATAACAAAACCACCATGAAAAGTTGGGGAGGGTGGGGGAGACTAGAGAAGGGAACAAAAGCCCAGTGCTTTAGTATCTTTAATGGCTCTTTTCCCCTGACTTTGGAACCAGGGATACATTCTCATTATTCACCAGACCTGGCCTGTTATACACCCAGTCCTGAAAGGGATTATTTGTATTAGGATGTGAGGGTCACTATAACAAAATAGCAGATTGGATGGCTTAAACAACAGTCTGTCTCACAGTTCTGGAAGCTGAAAATCCATGATCAAAGTGTTATCAAAGCTGGTTTCCTCCTTGGCTGGCACATGGTCACCCTCGGTATATTGTACCCCTCATATCTGTGTGTTCAAATTTCCTCTTTTCATAAGGACACCAGCCTGATTGGATTAGGGTCCACCCACATGACCTCATTTAACCTTAATTATCTCTTGAAAGACTCTCAAGAGATACAGTCATGTTTTGAAATACTGGGAATTGGGGCTTCAACATATGAATTTTGAGAACACATTTAAGTCCATACTAGATTTTCAATGACATGATCCAATAAATTTCCCTTTTCCTTATACGAGTTACTGTTGTTGTTGGTTTTTTTGGTCACTTAAAGTTTAAAAGAATCTAGTTGAGATAGTTTCCCAGTTCAACCTTTCAGATCCTATTCCTCAGTATTCTGCTCTCAATGGACAACATCTTTTTAAAGCTCTTAAGAAACTTGGAATTGAGGGAAGAGAGATAAAGTTGCCCCAAAGTGCAACCAGATACTTGTGAAAATATATCTTCACACTTTATCCATCAAACTCAGAAAATATTAGTGGTAGGGCAAATATCTGCCCCTTTACTTTTATAGGTAATAGAATGAGAGCTTGGGAAAGTCTCATTTAATCCACATGGTTTGGGTTGCAGACTACAGAACCCACATCTTCTGTGCCCAGATCAGGATTCTTTCATCTTACTCAATGTTGCTAACCACAGTTATTCCCAGTCCAGTGATGAAGGACATAATTTTGATCCCTGAATTGGCTCACTTATTTGATAAAATAGTAACAACAAACCTCACCTCTCAAGTGGTCTTTGATTGTGAACCTTTTTTTTTTTTCAACAAAGAATCATTTGAATGAAATGTACACCAGCATACCAACTCAAACTAGCAATATATATGCTAAAGAAGAATGTCTCTCAGTTTCAAAGAGTTTTTATAGAAGAAATGCAAATAAATTCATTTGTCATTCAAGAAAAACTGCAAATGCTACAATCTAAACAGAACTTTGCAGATAGGACTTCAATTACAGTATGTGCAAGGTAATCAATAATTATAGAAGCCAACTTCTCCAAGGCAATATTGGGCTTCAGAGCCAGGACTGAAATTTGAAATTTAGAACACCCTCCACCCATCCCCTGGAGTCAATTCCACATGCAGGGCATAGATTTTGGTCTCAAGAATGAACAAGGAGCAGAAAAACACTTTTACTTGCACAATCTTCTAAGGAGGAGTCACGTACAGAGGGTGGATGGATATTTTTTATTTATTGAATGTTCTCAGCATTTCTCATTGGTGTCTCTGAGCAGCAGAACTAAGATCAATAGGAAGGCATAAAGTTGCAAGGTGGGAATGAAAAATGAGATTAAGAGTAATGCTTGTAAAAATGCAAAGATACCTGCTTGAGAGACAGTGGAGGCTGCGTGACCCAGACCCCCTGAAGCCCTCCCTTACATATTGCATGATAGCATTGATGCTCTTTTCAAAGTGTCGAGAAATAGAAG